GTCGTTATTTCTGAAAATAGTTTAATACTAGGTATCTATTTGGGTTCATGTTACGTATCTCGAAGGGGTGAAATATATTTGCTCTTTTTAGTATTCAAAACGAAATATATACATTTCATTGACGACTGCAGAATAACTATGACAACAGAAAATGACATTAGATCAGAAAATAGCAACAGAAAGGAATAAAAGAAAAGACACACATGTAAACATGTGTATCCATACATGAATCTTTTATAGTTCTCAACTGGCGGTGAAAAAAAACAATTTGACTATTAGATTGTTGTGCTTGATCCTTTTTTTATTCATCTTTTATTTTTTTAAGGTTATCTACCGATTAGAATAGTATATATCAATAGATAAATATATATATATATATATATATATTTATGGTGAGAGGTAATCATGGTTTTGTATTCTTCATATAAAAAAATTATCTCAAGGTAATGAAACACAGAGTACTTTATTTTTTTGTGATTCAGACTTCTCAAAAAATCTAATATTCATTCAAATATTATTGTCTTCATTTTTCAAAAAATCAAGGAATAATCACATGGAAAATATATTATTTCCAATTCTTTACCATTCAAAACTAATCTTTGAATTTCATCTGTATGTTGATTGTTGACTAATAAACTAAACACATGAAATATTCAAATTAATTATTAAATTATATTCAAATTAAATACCTTCATAAACACTAAAATCCATCGAACAGTGTTCCTTTATTTTGATTGATATATATGTGTGTTACAGATAGAATGTTCTAGAAATTTCTATATGAACACGATGCAGAGACTAAATAACTATCTTTGTCACTCAAAACTTCTAGAGAATTCTCAACACGTCTAAATGCAAAACTTAAAGCCTATATAGGAAGGTATTATCAAATGATATATTCGATAGAATCTCACAGAGAAATATACTAAAATAGTAAATTGTATGAAAAGCAATTAACAATTTTATTGATGTTTGAAAGATAACTTTCAAGAGACACATTTTATTTTAAGTTATGTCTACATAGTATTGAAAAGCTAAACTCATTGACATCCCGAATGCTTTGTTTTGAATATTTTAAAGCTAAGAAAAAAACAACTGACTTTATCGAACAGTCTATTGGTTGGTTACGTGAAACAAAATAGAAATTAATCGAAAAAACAAATTATGATTGCTGGTATTAACCATACGCTTCATATATAAATGATAGACGCAGATAGACATGAGACTACCGAAACGAAAAAACATTCAGGTGTACTCATAAAAAAACCTAATTTATATTTTTTATTACGTCTTATATACATCAATATGATAGTTCTGTTGCTATCTCGATGAAACTTTGCTTTTCATCTTATTATTTGTATTAGAATCTAGTTGTTGTCGATGAATCTGAACTCAAGTGATGAATTATTATCTTAAATGCTTCATCAATGATTATAAATTCTTGTCTTTTTTCAAATTAACTAATATTTTATTACAAATCTCATCGGACTTAGACATATATATATATACTTATCTATAATACAGCAACACTTAATCACTTACACAGTTATTAATTTTACATAAATTTTCTTAGTACTAATCTGAACGAGATGAAATGAAATACACAAAAAAACGACTACATCTTATGTGCAACAACATGATATGTCTTGTAAAGGTTGTAGATATCAGTATAACTTTTACGTGGAAAAGATAATCATTACAGTTTCTTTTGTTTTCTCTACATACAATTTCTGGAATATTTCACTATAAAAAAGTTTGATCGAAATGATATGTCAAAAATGTTTCATACAGTAAGATTCTTCTGTTTCATGATTCTTTGAAAAGAAAGATTAAAAAATTTTTTCTATGAGAAAACCTTCAGAAAATGACAAGTGAAACTAATTTTATCAACGAAATACACCAAACAAGATAAATTTACATTGTAAATAACGATATATATTCAAAGAATGAAATGAAAAAGAATTTAAAATATGAAATACTTATCTCATCATATTCTATTCACTCATTTCTTTATCATTATGAAGCTGTTCAAGTTTCTTATACGAATATTTAATATAGAAACACTCATGTAGACTAAGCATACCCTTATTTTACCATTGATAACGTATAATTAAAGACAAGAGCACTTTATAATTGTAATGACTACCATATTTACTGTAACAGATATTTTAAATAGGCTGTTTGCGTATATTCGATAAGCAGAGTTGTAAATAAATTGAATGACAAGTGCACTAAATGATTAAATGCATTTTACCTGTTTTATGTCGCTAACGTTGGAAATGAGATCAAAGTCCATAAGTTAATTATATACAGACGAAATAAAAATATCTATATGTCATAAGATAGAGTCAAGAAAATTGATAGAAATACTTTATGGCAATATCTAAACAATTTTCATCACATTGTATGAACGAGACACTTTCTATAATAATTATGTGTTATATATATATATGTAACGATGTAAAAGAAGATAAGACAATATATTAATATCAGCTGTTGTCATCACTGTAGTTTCTATAAGCATCTTGCTAATATGGCCATGAAATAGAATAACATTTTACGTTTTTTATTTTGTCTAATATTCTATCGTTCTCCTACTGATGGCCTAGATATACAGACATGATACGAAAAAAACAAGAATAGACGTAATGACAAACTTCCATATGGAGGCTTATTGAAATTTGATTTATTACTTTGTATTGTATAGACATAGCGAAGCATCATGTTTCGCGAATATCTACATTATACTATGCACTTGCTAATATACAGAATAACTTGACAAAACATTAGATCAAAAAGAAAAATATTATAAGTGTTCAAGGTTATTTGAATATAGAAGAATACTGTTAAATAATTATGATTAATAAGAAAATTAGATTGCAATGATATACATATATATATATATATAGTAATAAAAATTGAATTATTTTAATTTTGTTTGTACTCTACGTTCCGAAAGATCATCGATGTCTCGCAAAGGAGAAGATCTAGCGGCATAGCGAGAGTACAATAATCATTCGCTTTTCCACATCATAGGGAACGCCGACTACCTCCATGATATGAGAAGGAGTGGAGCTGAATGTGGACAGTCATGTAGATTCGAACATAGGTACTAAGTTCATAAACTTTATTATACCATTCGATCAAATTTTTACCAATAGACATAAGAAATCTTCTTACTTTTCGCTTTCCATATTTCAAGTAATTATGTTAAAAAAAAACTTATCAATATACAAACTTGTTTTTGTTCGATAACGAAGAATAAAAGAAATATGAAAAACCGAACTAAATAAATAAAATCTTTGAGAATTGTGTCCTTGATTATGACAGACGCGATAAGAAACACATAAAAAAAAGTGTTTGTTTGACCCATTTTATGTAGAACACTATTAATTTTCTTTTATTTACGCATTTCTTTGCTTTCATCATTTTTCATTCTTTACGTACAAATTTGAATGCCAAATTCATGCATAGAATATGTCTATGAATATTATAGACACTCTCATGAGAGCACAAGAACAAAATAAAAAACAAATGTCAATAAGTGCACTTTTCTCTTCAACATATATTTTGACAAAAAAGTAAGGTACGATAATAAATCAACTACGAGCTTCATAAGGAATATTTTAATTCGATATTAAGACTTTTCTCATCTGTACTTTCCTTCGGCTTGCAGGAATCTTGGATGCTCTTTCCCTTAATTTTCAGTCAAACATACCATAATATAAAATTCATGTCACTGATTATGAATATCTCTTCAGGTTTTATTTAAGCTATTTTAACAAGTGAAGAGACGAGATTAACAACATTTCCATCTTAGGTAAAAAACGAACGACTCTCTCTGTTTTTTTAAATCATTCCTGTTTCAATACAGTGCTGTAAATCTTTGAAAAAATATTTCATATAGGTAATCGAGTGTGTTCTATTTAATGGAGCATTAATTGTGTCAGTTAAACATATAAGATGACGCACAACATGCAAGAACCGTGAAAAAATGATCTGAAAAATATAATTTTTCGCTACTAAACGATAGCTTTACCCCGAAAGAACAGATTTTTTTTTCTTCTTCTTCAAGGACATATTGAAATAAAACATCAAAAAACAGGGTCTACTTATATTATTTTTAGAGAATAACTGAGTGAGATGGTGAAATCATATAACTTTGAATTGTGCTGCGCATATCAATTAACTAGAATTCTCTCTCACAATCCGGTTCTATCATCTGTTTTCCGTATTGAAATATTTTAATTTCTACATTATCAGATAAAGAATACTTGAATATCTATTTGAAAATATTTTTTTTCAAACGTTTAAAATATTCTACAATGTCGGTAGCTCGTCAAAAACAAAAAAAAACAGCATAGTTACTCATTTATGACTTTATTTCTTGAAAGTTTTCTCTTCCCATTCATCGAAAATATTTAGAAAAAAAACCAATATGATACAGGTAATCAACGCTGCAACTCTAGTTTTACCCTAAGCGATGAGAAAAAAAGAGTCACGTGCGCCATAAGTTTATACAGGTGCGACAAAATTTCATGTCGAGCTAAGATGAATAAATATGCCTATGTGGTAGTCCATAGTTGACTTATCATTGTGATTCACCTATTTGTTTTGAGAACACTTCTTGAAGAAAAGTGCTCTTATCAGTTCTTATTCTTTAAGAAACTATTCAAGAATTTGTAAATATTTGCATTCATTGACACACTTACATAATACAAAAATACTAATTTTTTTTTTCTAGTATCTTAATTTTCATATTTACATATATAGGTCACAGGTATTTTTATACCATCTTTTTTTGATTGTTTTCGTTGTTGATCATTTTGAATTATTATCTCTTTTAGTTAGAGTAACTATTCAAAGTATAATAAAAATTTTGACTTTCTGTTTTTTTTAATCTGTTGTCGATCGATCGACGAATAAATTTTTTCTTTTAAGACAGAAAGAGAAACAATTATATATATATGTATATATATATTTTTTTTTTAATAAATTATTTATTGTGGATGCCCATACTGTTGTGTTCCATAAGGTGTTTGTGGATTTTGATAATGATACCAATTATTTGTTGTCATATTTTGATGTTGTTGTGGTGTCATATGATATGATGAAGATACAGATGATGACGATGATGATGAAGGTGCACTTACAAAAGGTGCTGTGGATGTCATGTAAAGTGTGGTAGTTGTTGTTGCTGCCAATGGATAACGTGGGATTAATGGTGGAGGTGGCATATGAGAATATGGAGTGGGATAAGCACCACGATAATGTTGAGGAAAATTAGGTGAAGAATAAGGTCCGGTTCCAAGGTTTGGTGTACTATTATTACTATTAGTAGTAGTAGTAGTATTAGTATTATTTGGCGTGAAATGAATCGTTCCAGTATTTGATGGTGCATCAGTAAGTGTATACAAATTTGAAGCGTAACTACCAGGTGTCGAATGACATTGAAGTGGTTGTTGAGAAACTCCACTCATTTTATTTGTTGTTCTTATAGTTGAAGAAGTAGAAGACAATGTAATAGGTTTAGTAGTATCATCTGTAGGCACGGGTGTAGATTCGACAACAGGTATATCATCATCATCTTTCGCTGAACTTTCTTCTTCACCCATTATTCTAAAATTTGCAATAAATTATTGATTTTATCTATTTCACATGTTTTACCTTAGTCTAGCTAGTCTATATTCAAGTTCACGTTGTTCATAAGTTTTAATAGCAGGTTTTGTTGATTGAGACGATAAAGAAGATGAAGAAAAAACAGGCGTTGTTATTGATTGTGAAGAATTAGTTGAATCTTTAGTATGAGTACGTGGAATGATCGATACGACAGGCACTGTTGTAGACGAAGATATATTAGTAGAAAAAGATGAATTACTGTTATTAGTATTATTGTTATTATTTAATGCTGCCGTAGAAGCAGTAGTGGTTGCTGCTATTAAAGAATTAGTTACATCGTTATTAGTTGGTAATTGACATTGACTGGTTGGTCGTTTAAGAATTCGAATTGGTTTATTCGAATTCATAAAATTGATATTTGATGAAGTTCGACTGTCATCATCATTCACAATGGATGATACAGTAGATATAGTGGGTTCCTGAAATAAATAAACAAAAATTCAATTTAATTCAGACATTTAAAAACAAAATCGTTAATGGAATCTTCGTGTAATAATGGCACAGTTGTCAGTATAGTTATAAATTCTTTGAAAAAAAAACAATAAATAATACTTTTCAAAAACATTGAAATGTTCTATTCAGTTTTTCAGTTAATTTGAGAGTATGAAATCAGCAACTATTGATCTATTATTCATAGAGAAAACACTAGTTTGACGATATTTAAAAAACAAATGCGCATCATTTGACAACATGTATATAAGTTATTCAAAGTATCTAATAAGTCTAACGAGGAAATTGTGCCATGTGATTCACAGCTCTTTTGCGCTAATATTTTCCCAATAAGTGATATCCAATGATATTAGAAAAAGCTTTATAAGTCTTTCTTTCCAAGTTATGATCATTTTTGCTAGAATTATCACTTATAATAAGAGATTTACCGAAAACTCAAAGTACAGAATTTCAATCTGTGAATTTCTCTACATATAGATCTCATAACGACCTAAACATCACAATTAAAATAATCGCTTCTTTCTCGAGATAGTGAGTTTTAAAGACAAGTCGATTTTTCTGACATATAATACAATGAGGCTGTTTTGTGAAGATTCTATTTCTTAAGAAAGAAGTATTCGTTTTGATTGTAACATTTAGATCACTAGAAGAGTCATGAGATCGATATGTGAGAAGATTTTCATATTGAAATTCTGTACGTTGAGTTTTCAGTAAATCTCTTGTTATAAGTAATAAGCCTATTAAAAAATGGTCATAACTCAAGAAGAAAGATAATCGATCCTTATCGTTTTAGGCTTTTTCTTATCTCGTTGGTTCCTACTTATGGGAAAAATATCAGCGCAATAGTTGTGGATCACTTGGAGCGGTTTTCTCGTGAGACACATATCGTTAATAAATCTTCATTCAATATCGTATTTCATATCAATCAAAAACGACAACTTCGATTATTATCAATGAATTTGTCGACATATAATTAACGAAATTAATAAGTAGAACTTAAACTACAAATTAGAATAAAAATCTTGTTGTTGATTATTTCTTGATTGTCAACATTGAAAAAAAGATTCATATAATTTTTCTATTGAAAATTTTTAATCTCGAAAGTTAAAAAGAAACTCTCGATTAATCAATGTCTACAAAATGTCAATAATTCAAAAGATCGATAATTAATCTCAAAAACAAAAATAATCATATTATCAATTTTGTAAAATAAAGAACTATACCTAACGGATGAAAATTCAAATTGATCAAGAAAGAAAAACGAAATTATTTCTATAGATAACGATAATTGAAACTATTAATTGGTAATATTCTATAATCAAATTAAAATGGTTTGATAGCACATATTTATCAATATGAGATAATTTAGAAAATATTCATACTCAACATATAAAATAAGAATTTTTATAATTAGATTAGCGTAACTTATATCTATCTGTTTATATTGTAAATCAGAAATTACAATCAAATCTTTTCGAAGAGTTAATCATTTTTTTAAATATTTTACTAAAATTTTCTAATATCATAATCGATACTATTTTTTCCACAGAAAGATTAACTATTTAGAATTTCTATGTATTATTTTACAAAATCCTAAAGATTCAATCAGAATCGTTTTTTTTTTAGAAAAAATCAAAAATAGAATATTTCAAATTATGACATGCTTATATATTTAAATATTAATATCTTTAATAAAAGTTTCATATCAAGTTAAAGTTTTATTTTTCAATACCGAAATATAAACAAAATTATTTACTTTAGAATTAAAATTCACTAAATAATGACCACTACTATCCACTTTCAAAATTCTATGGATCATTATAAACCTAGTAGAAGATTATGCACACATTCTAAAACATTTCTCTTGTCTTTAAAAGTTTTGATACGAATAAAAAACAATTTACTTGATTAGCTGCACGAGCTTTTTCTTGTTGTTCAAGTCGTTTATCAAATTCACCCGTATCGACGGCTACTTCCCAATCATCATTATCAGTCCCCATTGTTGTTGTTGTTGTTGTCACTGTATCCACCATAACTTTTTTTAAAACTTTATATCAAATTAATGTGTTATAATAAACACAAACAAAAGGGAAGTTTCGAGATAATAAAAAAAATTTGTTACTTCTTTTGAGTTTTTTTAATTTGCTTAAACAAGCATTGCAATAGATAAATGAATATAGAAGAACAAAACCGAAACCGAAACCGAAACCGTCGATGACAACAGTCGTATATATATAGAGAAAGATGATGATAAAATCTATAATCAAACAAAGAAAAAAAAACACATAAGTCGTAAGAGAAAAAAAAAAAGAAAAGAACATAATGATAAAAGATTTGTGATGTATTGATGTCTTGCAAACAAAAGCCGCAAGGAGAAAAAAAATGAAGAATTACACACACAAACATACGCAACAAATGCAGATGATCACACAAGCCACGCAGGCAAAAAAAGAGAATAATAACCGATCTTTCACCATACTTTTTTTTTTGATTTTTCCTCTTCAAGATCAATTGAACAAAGCTCGCCAACAAGTACACGTTTATACGCATACAGCTTTTTTTTTTTGGTTTTTAGAAAAGAGGAGTAATTATTCCATTGTTTGATAATACAAAAAAAAAAAAAAAGAACAAAAGACAGTATATGTGTGTAATATATATAGCTATATGGAGAAACGAATAAATAGATGCGAGCGAGAATAGAAGGCAAGAACAAATATGTGTTATTGGCTTCGCCTAATCGAACATACGAGAAAAAAAAGAAGGAACAGAGCGAAACACGTTCACGACGTGTTAATATGTAGAAAAATACAAGCGGAAAAAAAAGGACATATGATAACGCATACTAGAAAGAAATCAACCCTAAATGAAAGAGATAGAAAAGTTTTAATTCACCCTTCGTCTTTGCTTCTTATTTAAATATTGTTTTTTTTTTTAGATTCTGTACAAACAAATATAGAACAAATGAGAAAAAAAGAAAGGAACTGATTTAACTAGACAAGGAAATAGAGGTATTGAAAAAAACAACCAACAACAGAATCTTCAGATCGTCTTATTTTAAGATGATATTAAATTCTGTTCATCTATTGAGCATTAGGATTTGTTTCAGTTGCAGAATTTAGAAATTCATTCGGCCGCTTGTGTCTCTCTAATGCATTCAATGTAGAATAATCATGAGGCAATTCACTCTTGCGTCTTATCATTGGTTTGCCTTTTTGCATTGTACGACTTGCCTAAAAAGTAAAATATAGTTAATGAAAATTTAAGTTTAAGAACAAAAAAATCTTAAAACTATCTTTCTTCTCTTAGAAACAGTATATTTAACAAGATATGGATTAAACTATATATAGACAAAACTAGAAAAAACGGAACATGACTATCTTTGATTTGATTCTTTATAAGAGCGTTTTGTTTTTTTTTTTCGAATAAGTTCTTTTACTATGAATATATGTAAAAATATTGACTCTTTCAGTTGATGTCTAATTAAGCTTAATTAAAATATAATTAGTACATAAAGTTCGAATCTTATGATGGAAAAGTTCGAGAAAATTCAATATAGACTCTACACTGCTAACTATATCTATAGTAAAATTTTCAGCAGGATCCAACTTCCCAAATGAACCAATTCTCTAGAGATCTCCAAGAAAGATTTATAGCATTTACAATTACTTTTTGAACTTCTCATGCATTTATAGAAAGACTTGTCATTTCTATATTCGTACTCAATTACATTGCTGACAATTCTTCGAAAAACCTAAGCATGTTCAGAAAAAAAAAACTTTGCTCAAAGATTTTGTAGCCTGAAGGGTCCTCGATAAAATGCTTCACTTATAAGAAAACCATCCGAACTAATACTCACCGGTTGGATTTATATTACGCGTCTACAAGGACGTCTTGGTTAGACTAGCAAAAATCTGAAAGAACTCGACTCCGTGGAACTTTAGAACAAAGTTATACTCGCTCTACTGAATTTTCGATTCAGTTTTAGGTATACGGTGAAAACTCAAAAAATAGAATTTGGACATAAAACTTTGTCCATAGATAAATCTAATGATCTATAGAATATCTAACGGTGAACGATTCTGTTTTAGAAATTCAATATTTCGACAAAGGTACATTCTTATCGATCGAAATTTTCAGGATATTCTACTGATTATTCAACGTATTTATAAGCAATATTTCACATCGTTAAATTTTTCGGTATATACCTAAAACTGGAACAAAAAATTAAGTAAAACAATCATAATTTGACTTCAAAGATCTATAAGGATAAACAATTTTAGGCTTGTATCAATCTCAACAAGACGTCTTTGTAGATACGATGGAGAATATCGGTTCAAATGGTTCCTTTGTTAGTTTTGAAAAGTACTATTTGAATTTTCAGTATTTGTAAACGCAAATGTATGCAGTGAAAGTCTTAGTCCTTTTCTTTTTATGCCACATTGCTAACAAATTTTTTCACAATAATTTTATTATCTTACTTCTTTAGCTTCTTGTTCAATTTCTTTTGCCGTTATATTAGCTGCTCCGCCATCATCATCATCATTATCAATAGGTCGATAAAGTTCAGGTTGATTAGTGGCAAAAGCTTTATACTAAAAAAAAAAAACAAAAAAAACAAATTAGTTTAATTTATTAGAATCAAACTAATTAATTTTATTTTTACATTTGGATTTTGTCTAGCTCTTGATTCAATTTTCATCCATGCTGAATCTCGATCACGTAATTTATCTTTTTCTTTTTGTTTTTCAAGTTTATATTTTTGTGAACATTCATCAAATAATTTATGATTCATTTCCATAAATAATTTTAATGCATTATAAATCAAACCATGAATTGTTCTATTTATTTCAATAAAAAAAAAAGACCAATAAAAGTTAAAACATTAAATAAAAATTTCAATAGATATTTACTTATTCCAATGTGTTTTCGTATTTTTATACAATGCTGGAAACATAATTGGTAAAATAACTACAGCATTTTCTGTTAATAGACTCATTATATATTCATTATTCCAATAATAAAGTGCTCTTTCAGCAACCTAATAAAAATAAAAAACAACATGAATCTTTTGTTGTTGTTATTGTCTTTCTTTTTCTTTTAAATAAAACAAACTTGAAAATGTGGACTTGAGACACATTTAGCTAATTGTTTAAATAAAGGAACCATAACTTTTTGAAATTCAACTGGTTCCATAACATCGAGAACTTCTTCTAATTCATTGAGAAACATAACCTCCTTTGGACTATGTGTTTTTGGCCAATATTTAAGTAAACCCATGATCACCTATGAATAACAAAAAAGGCAAAGAATTAATATGTAAAATTTTTATTTGCAATAGCATCGTATAATACCGGTTGAGTTAAGCTTGGATCTTTTTCAAGAAATTGCACAATACAATAAGCTAATTGTGGATGATAAACACTGAGTGTTTTAACTTTATGTAATGGTAATAAAACTTTTATTAAAAATACTTTATGTTCTTCTTTTAATGGTAATGCAAATCCATTTATAATACTAAATAAAAATAATAATAATAAATTTTGATAATAAAAAAAAGGTTTTTTTTTCTTACCTTCCAAGAATTTCAAGTAATTCAGCAACACCATTATGTCGTTCAGTTTCATAGATAAACTAAAAAGAAAATATGAATATCTCATATTTATTTACAAGAAATTTAATTTTTAATAAGTGTTCATCTCTGAATTATTAAAGTCTTAAATTGAATTCGTTATTTTCAATTAAAAATAAAATCCATTCGTTGTATTACAAATAATAAGACTTGTCGTCTAACGAAATCTGAAGAACTAAGTATTGCTTTCCATTCAGAAATATTTGATTCTTTGTAACATCGTGATGATTAGACATACATCAAGACCGAATACCTTGAAATAATTCTCATAAATTGTATAAACATAATAACTATTTTTATTTTAGAAATAAACTAAAATAGATCATTTTTACGCATATATAAGGATTAGCTATGCACCAGTTCTAATCCGACTGCGTATTGGCTTCAAAATTGTCGATTTTTTTAGGAGTGGGAAGTAAGAACGAAACACAATGTGATGCGATTTATCCCACAACAAACGGCCTGCCATTAAGCCGCCCCCCCCCCCCCCCCCCGAGGCGTATCCTAATCCCTGAGTTTCTGTCCAAAGTTACCACGAAATTGTATTAAATTGGCAGAAAGTTGGACTTTTGGAAGGGAAGAAGGAAGTCCCACTTTATCGACAACTCTTATTGGATCCACTGGATGCCCATCTGATCGGGTACTAGTCCAACAGGTTACTTGCCGTACGGATCATCAGTCTCTCTGAAGACAAGTCCGACTAAGACTGATGCATATCTAATGAGAATAGAAATTAAATAATAATATTTATTTTCTTCTATTTATTTAACATGATAAAAGTAATTTCCTATATTCTTATTTACCAAATATGATCAACGATCTGAAAAAAGACTTCCTTCCATTCATATGAATAAATTTAAATTGTACGAATTTTTAGATAAGTAAGAAAAAACCTATTTTTACATTAAGTCTATATCTTTTCTTTATTTTTCTTTTCATATTTACTTTATAAAATATATTATTGATCTGTTTTCGTATATAAGCACGTAAACCAAGAAATTTTCCATAAATACGATGAAGAATTGTTTTTAAATAATCACGTTCACGTGGATCTTCACTATCAAATAAATCAAGTAACTAAATAGGAAAAAAAAACAATATATTTTTTTTTTCAGAAAACAAAATACAATCATCTGTTTTTATTACATTGAGAACATATTTTTGATCAATATATCGTTTAGCTGTATTCGGTTGAAAATCAGGTGATTCAAGAAAACGTAAAAAGAAATCATAGACAAGTTGTAGATGTGGCCATGCTACTTCAAGATTTGGTTCATCTTCTTCCGGATCATAATCAGCACCTGATGGATTGCTTGTTGGTGGTAATGTTCGAAAAAGATTAATTGAAAACTACAAGAACACATAGATAAACTTGAATTTATTATTAAAATTTTCTTTTCAATT